TTCCGGCAAAGCCAAGCCATTGCTAAGTCAAATTAGCTTCACACAGGAGCCTCATGGAAACTTCCCAGAGCGCTGCTGTTTCATCTTGGGGATGCTCCCCAGTGAGCCCTGCAAAGGGTTAACCCCAGGCCACAGGGTCTCTGGGAATGGAAGAGGCCGCTCTGGGGAAAGGAGAGAGCTGGAGCATCAGCTCACCACATTAACACATTCCAGTTCAATTTTGCTCTGCCTCTCGCTAGGGACAGAAAGGCAAAAAGTACACAAGTGATTTTTGTAGGTCACTGCCGAGCCCTGCCACCCACTTTTGGGGATGGCAGAGCAGTGGGTAACCAGCCCTGCACAGTCAGGGTGACTGGGGCTCTGTTGGCTGCTGCTGCCTGTCCGTGTCCCTTTCGACAGCACAACCGCACTGCATGCACCGGGGGGGGGGCAGTCCCTTTCCCAGCTCACGCATAGCAAAAGACCTGCAGGGTCTTCAAGACCCAAGCAAGGTAGTGGTGGAGCAGCCAACAGCCCCCTTCTCACCACAGTCCCTTCCCACTGCCCCATCTTCCCCCTCCACACTGAAGGAGGTGAACAGTTGACTGACAGAGGTCCCAGAGTTTCATTCTGCTCTGGCTCAGCAGCGTGACTGTTGTGCCAGGTCCCCGGCAGCAGCCACAGACCTTCCCCAGAGATGAGGCATTCACCGGTGCTCTGTGTCCCATTGGTGCCGTTCCCAGCCCTGGGCACACTGTGCACACCCATCCTGGGTGTGTGGGTGCCACAGCTCCATGCCAGCCCAGGACCAGGAGGGACCAGCAGCTCCCCAACTCCGGGCTGCCCAGGGGGAGGGCAGGGGCCAGGCTGGAGTCACCTGGGGGGAAGCCATCATCTTGAGGGGGAGCCCTTCAACATCTCTCCACCCCTAAAGGTCCTGCTCTGGGAGACCTCCCTTGCTTGACGATCCAAGGCCCTGCTGGGTTGTTCTCCCAAGGTCCAAATGGTCTGTAAGATACAGCCCAGAGCTGGCCCATCCTCAGCACGCTTGGCCAGAGCACCCAGGGGAGATGCAAGGGCAAGATGCAAAGGCTGGAGAAAGAAAACCATGAAGGTGAGACATTCACCATCATGCATAGGCTTCCAGAGCTGCAGCTCCTGACCTCCAGCCACCACCTCTTGCACGGAGTAACCCCAGGATGGGGATCACAGGACAGGGGGAGGAGAGCACAGACCAGGTTCATACTCAGAAAGAGAAAGGAGCAGAGGGGAGGCAGGACCAGAGTTGGAAAGCACAAGCCAAGCACCCAGGCCGTACTGCGCAGTGCCACACGTGGGCTGCTGGGCTCTATTTTAAATGCAGTGTGGCAAATATATGCAGGATGAAATCCAAGCTGGGGGAAGGGGAGGGTGCTGGGCGGCGGAGGAGTTCAAAATTAGGAGCTGAGCTCAGGCGAGGATGGCTTCTGGGAGCAGACGGGGGAAGAGCTGGGGCCTGCGTGAGATGTACAGCTGCAACACCGGCCCCGGGGGTGAGCAGCCCCGCGGTGGGGGGTACAAGGGGGGGACACTCCCCTCCACCTTCCCGGCACGATGGGGAGAGCACACGAGCCACAATGGCCAGGGAAGGATGGCAAGGACACCCAAGACAGCTGCAAGCCAGGCTGAGGAGGCAGCTTCCTCAGCAGCACAGAGGAGACCTCTAGTCCCCCTTGGCACAGCTCCTGGCACACGGGTCACCCCAAAGACACCCCAGACCTCAATGTTTATGGGGCAGCCCTTCTAGCCAAGAGGAACTGCACCACCTGCCTGTCACAGGCAGGGAAGGTGAGAGATGCGGGGAGACCTGGACAAGACCCTGGCAGAGCACGGAACCGAGCCCTGCTGCCCTCCTCACCCACAGGCAATCCTCTGCACCTTCCACTCCACTCTCCCCTTCTGGATTGACCCCAAAAAAGCTGCCGCCATCTCGCTGTGCTTTGCAAGATGCTCAGCAGCAGCACCCAGCAGCCAGGAGCACAGCAAGGCTCTGATGGGAGCTGGCAGATCTGGGATGGTACCTGCCCTACATTTACCAAGCAGACAGGTTGACAGAATGAGCGAGTTTTTATATAGATCTTGGTGGCAGCGGTTTTCTTCACTGGTGGTAGATGGAAGGGTGGGGGGAAGGGAAATGGAGAATATTTTCATTTAAGCTCTTTTCTGCATTCTTGCTGCCGGAGTCGCACATTATTCATGCGTCCCTCGTAACCAGGCTGGTGGCTCTCAGTTTTGCTCAGAAGGGGCTGTGCAGAATTAAGCAGCCGGTTAAATTATTAATAGTCTGTCAGGGGTGCCCAGGACGACTGCTCTTGTTCCCACTGCCTTTTGGGGGGCTCCAGTGCCCCCAAGAGGCACAGAAACCAACTACAGCCCTTTGAAAAACCTGGTGTCTGCTCTGCCCTACTTGGAGCCCGAAGACATCCTGGCCTGGAAACCACCAGGCTGCAAAGCCCCACTGGACGTCTCTCCTGTGCTGGTCTCACCCCCCACACACCGAGACCAGGCAGCGCCAAGGGGTCTGCAAGTGTTTCACCCCATTGGCATGCTTGGGGCAGCGGGAGCAGGCACATGCAGAAGACGAAAGGCAGAGAAGCCCTGTCAGGCCGGGCAGAAGCTGCAGGGGCCCCTTGTGTTAAGCTCAAAGCACCTTCTTTTCACAGCTAGAGCAGCATGAGAGCTGCCACGCAGGGATTTGTGCTTCATGCCACATTTGCAGGCTGCAAAGAAGCATCCACATGTCTGAAGCCTGTCAGGGACCGCTCTCTAGTGTCCCACGGCAGACACTCAAGGGGTAGGGGATGCAAGGCGTGGACTCTCCCCACCCACAGCAGAAGCTGTCCCCGTCAGACACATCCCACCCTTGCACTGGCCCTCAGCTTCCTTCTGAATCCCTCCAGCTTCCTTCCCACAGCCTTGATATCTGTTTTCATCAGCCAAATACCACTGGCAACAGCTGCTGCCCCCACAACAAAAGGCCCAAGTCAAAATTTCATGTGGCAGAACACAATGACCATGGACTCAAGGGAGCCCAAGCCACCAGCACTCAGGTAGCCCCAGCTCCTTCCTGCTCATGACCTGGCGACTCTCCCCCTCTCCCTTTAGGATAAAGCCGAGCTGCAAACAGGCAGGTCAGCGCTGTGGCCGTGCAGCCCGGCCGCAGAGACCTCCCAGTTCTAACAGGACTTTTTTTGGCTCATTAATTTTGCGCTGGGAGAGGTGTCAGACTGACAGCCCTGGGGACAATCTCTTTCACAGGACAGCTCTGGCACAGGCAGCAGAATGTGGCTTTTCAGGCGAGTTCATTTTTGGCTTCTGGCTTATTTTTATCCTGCGGGATGTGTGTCAGACCGGTCAAGTCAAGCACGAGTCCTTTCCTCCTCCCCACTGGATCAAGTCACGCGGCAGGGACATTGCACGGGCACACCCTTCCCCTTTGCCCTGACGGCTGCCACGCTTGGGCCCCCCTCTCTACTGCAGCCCGGAGCCAGGCCGCAGGCTCACACTCCGCCACATCCCCCGTTTATCATTCTCCTGCCCCCAAGATTTTGGTCCTCAGACCATCTCTTCCACACGTTGGGGGCTGACAGCCCCCAAAGTCTGGGATCCAAAGTCTCTCAGCCCCTCGGGGCATCAGCCACCCCATTGCTTCCAGGTCTTGAGGCTCTCCCAGCAAAGCCACTTCTCTCCAGCAGCTTGCTCTCACTGTCCATGTGTCTAAAGCGGGCCCAGAGCACAGCGATCACTGGCCCAAGCTGTCCTCTTCCCCAGGCACCACTAGGACAGTGGGGACAGACCACAGCTCTCCTGTGTACAACCAGGAGAGCAACAGTGAGCAGGTGGGGGGTGGCATGGCCATCATGTAGGGCTCTGACCATGAGAGACAGCAGGGAAGGAAGGAGACGGGGATCTGCCACGGTCTGCTTGCAGCATCCCTCCACAAGGTGAGGCTAAGCTCTGACTCAGGCAGCAAGGAAGACACAGGAGCTCAAAACTTAACAGAACACGAGGCCTTCCATGATGGCGAGTCCTTTGCCTGGGCTCAGGGTCAAGGTGTTGCCCAGAGAAGGACAAGCGGAACCATCACAGGACCGCTCGCTCAGGCGAGCGTTTCTTAAAAACCAAGCTGGCCTGCTGGAGCTCACCTCCCGCTGCTGCGCAGACAGAGTCAAGCTGGAAGAGTCACAGACATACTGGAAGGACTTTGAAATAAGGATGTTTTTGGAAGGACCAAGGCTGTTTAGCCCTGCTTGAAAGCGATAGACTCTGGTGAAAGAGCACACTGAAGGGAAAACTCTTTGCAACGCTTGACTGATCTTCAAAGTTGGCCCTGATCTGAGAAAAGGGCTAGGCCAGAGACCTCTGGAGGTCTCTGAACCCATTTGTGGCCACGTGTAGATCTGGTTCCGCGGCTGGCCTTACTGCCTGCCATGCAGCCAGGCCTGCAGGCATCTGTGCAGAACAACAGGTACCACAGGTATCTATGCAAGCACCAAGCTGGCTGCTGGGACCTCTCACAGCACACCAGGGGAGCCCAACACTGAATTTCCATTAGAAAATGGTTACAGAATGGTGCCAGGGTTTCCCAGAGCTGTGACAGACAAGACCATCAGCCCAGCTGTGCTGCGGCAAGTGCTGGAAAAGGGACAATGCTCACTAGAGCCAGTGCAAGGAGAAGCTGCAGGGACTGGCTCAGCGCTGTGGGGCTGTGTACAGGGACGTGCCATCTTCCCTGCTCAGAGCAGAGGGGGAGACACCAAACTATCTGCAGGAGAACAAACCCCAGTCCTCCCGTGGGGAACTACACAATGTCTCTGGGCACAGGAGCCCACAAGGGAAATCCTCACAGCCTCCTAACAGGCTGAGCGCCTGCAGAAGAGGGCCACCCCCCGAGAAAGGCCTGTAGGGCAGGACAGCAAACACCACCTCTGTGTTTTTGCCTCCCCCCTGCCAGGAGCATGAAGAAAGTAAGAGACCCTTACGTGGGCAGTTCTGCTGGCTGGGGCTCTGCTGCGGCAGCAGCACCCAGGGGCTCCACTGCCACAGGGCTGGGGGCTGTGTCCTGGGTTATGGTCGACTCCTGTGTCCCCGCAGCTTCCCCAGCACTTGGGATGTGCTCTGCTGTTGTCTCAACCTCAATCTCCTGAGCTGCAGGGGACAGCTGCACCCTCTCAGCAGCCGCAGCCTCCTCCTCCTTCTTTCTTAGCTTCGCCTCCAGCTCTTGGTGCCTCTTCTCATCATCCTGCCGGGCCATCCGCTCAAAGACTTTGAATGCCTGAAAGACAAAAAGCAAACCAAGTGGTAGTCAAGCTGCCAAGAAGCTGGAGGAGAAGGAGAGAAGCAGCATCGCCCCCTTGGGGCACTTATTACTGTCCCCCCCTCTCTAGATGCTCCAGGCCCCCCACTCCCTACAGTAAGTTGCTTCAATCGCTGACAAAAACAGCTGCTAGCTATTTCAAAACTCACACACTCATGTTAAACACACCTCAGGAGAAAGCCTGAGCTCCTGAGAGCCACTTTGAAATCACTGAAATCCCTCCACCACAGGGAAAAGGGCTGGCTACTCCAGGGAAAAGCGATGAGCTCCAACTCCTGGCTGGGAAGGGGCTCTGAGGGAGCCCCTGCTCCTTGCCCTGCTTCCCAGGGGCCGTTTGTAAGCCTGGAGCTCAGACCAAACCTCTGAGGTGCAAACAGGATGAGTTGCCTCAAGAGAAGCTGGAGGACAGCTTACCTGGTGCTGTCTGAGCCCGAATCGACTCAGAGCTCTCTTTGCTGGCACAGGAGAAGGATCAGAGTGACCTCATGTGGGGTTTTGAGCCAGAACTGACTGGTTCAGGCCAAAAACATGCTCAAAGAAAAGCCATCCCTCCCTACTCCCAGAGCTTCAGCAGGTGAGAAGGTCATTGCCCAACCAGTGGCAACAGCAGCATAATCCCACCCTGCAGTTCGTGTCCAGCTGTGCCCATCTAGCACAGGCTGGAGGTTAAAAGTTAAACCCACAACTCTTTGACACAGATGAGGGAAGCACAGTCTTCTGGGTCCTGCACCGGTACCTCAAAGGAGCTAAAGCTTCTCCCAGCCAACTGCCAGGCCACTTGTCACTGTAAACACATGCCAGAAGGTGGGTGACCCTCAAATGCCACCCTCCCTCGCTTCCCAGGAATACTTCAGAGCCAGCTCCAGAGAGCGTCCAACCTTAAGCCACACTGGCCTGTGGCACCACTTGCACCAAGTCTTCCTCTAGGCACGGTACCTTCCTCAGACAAAGGGAGGCGGCACTGGGAGGGCTCCCACCAGCACAGCCAGAGCAGGAGAAGAGCAGCTTTATTGTGGTGCGTGCTCATGCCCTTCACTGCAGGCTTCTTCCCCACAGGAGCACCAGCCCATGGGACAAGGACACAGGAGAAGTGAGTGCTGGGCATTGTCTCTGCTCTGGTTGCTTCTTTCTTTGCAATCGCTTCTACCCCACGTAAACCCACAGTGCCCATTCCTGGCTCCTTCTCTCCAGCCAAAGCCTGAACTCAAGTCAGCCTCATGCAGATTGTGTGGAGTGACACCTCAAAACCATCTCCTTCCCCTGGGCTGTGGCCAAGCCAGAAGAGGTCCCTTCCAAACTACCCCCCCACATTCCAGGTCCCTACAGCTGCAGCCATGAGGTCGCCCTGGCCAATACCTTCCCAGGCAATGAACGCTGCGGCCGCAGCTATGTGCCCGCCTCCTTGTGCCCAGGCCCAAAACAGTCCCGGGGAAGCACACGAGAGAGGTCTCCCACCACCACTGCCTCACTGCAGAGTGGTTTGGGCTCTGCGCTCTCCCCTCTGCAGCCTAAGACCCCCGTGGACTCTTTGCTCAGTCCCAGAGTAAGCTCTAGGAGTGCTCCCACTGCCCGGGCTAACCCAGGGACAAGGCTGACAAGGACTCCCTCGTGCTGCAGACCCCAGCAGGGAGAGGGGCAGGGACCTCCTGTCAGCGTGCCAGGCCTGCAACAGGAAACTTGCCTGGGCTCAGCAGATGAACACCCCAAATCCAGCCTGACTCCGAGTTCTATGAGCTTGTTTCCTCCCTGTTAATAAAGATTAATAACAGCCTGCAACAGCCCTGAGGCAGAGACACCCAGCACCAGGCCCAGCCCAGACTGCTGCTATCACCACCCGACAGCCCCAGGCTTTCACCATCTCTCCCCCATGACGGTGGTGAGCCCAGTGCTCGCCCCGAGCCCCTGCTGAGTAGAGCCCAGCCCAGCTCCTGTACAGCCCCGCCGGCAGCTCCCCGCCCGCCCCGGCCCTGCACCGCCGGCAGCCGCCTTCACCGGGGCCAAGCTCCCAGAGGGGAATCGCCCCCAGCTCTTCCCGCCCGGCTCTCGCGGGCCTCGGCACCCCCGGGGCTCCCCGTCCTATGACACGGGTGACAGCTCCTGCCTCCCCACCCGCTGCCCACGTCTCCGCCGCGGCCCCCACCGAGCACTCCCTGCCCGGCCCGGAGGGGACAAACACGGCCCGTCCACGGTGACAACGCCGGCTGCTAGGGCCTCTCGCCCCACGGCCACACTCGCCCCTGCCCGCTGTGGCCCACCGGCCCCGGGAGGCCCTCAAGGCCGGAGCGTGCGGCAGCCGCGGGCGCCTGCCGGTACCTGGAGGGCCATGGCCTGCGCGGCGCCGGGCGGGAAGCCCAGGCGATCCCCGGGCCGCAGAAGGAGGCGATAGAAATCGGTCTTGCGGTAGAGGAAGCCGAAGAGGATACGCAGGAACTCCTCCACGTTCCCGACGTGCTGCAGGATCCCCAGCAGCGCCTGGTCGTACATGTCGGTGAGCGCGGCCGCGGCCTCCATGGCAGCTCCGTGCCCGCTCTTACGGCAACGGGGCCCGGTCGCGCTTCCGGTCCCCCGCGCGCTTCCGGTCCCCCTTTCTTCCGGACCGCCCAGAACCCGCCCCGCGCCGCCACCGTTCCGACTGCCCGACAGGTCCCCAGCCCCGCGCAGGTTCCCCGGGGACCCCCCCCGGCCGCCCCCAGCGCCCTCAAGACACCCCGTGTGTCCCCCCAGCAGTGGCGGGGGAAACCTGCCCCGCCGCCGCTCCCAGCGCACCCTCGGGCCCCCGCGGAGACACGGGGCCCCTCTCGGCCTGGTCCCGGGCTGCCCCCGGTCCTGGGGGCGCCTGGCCCGGGGGGGGCAGATCATAGAACCATAGGATCATCTAGGTTGGAAGGGACCTTCAAGATCATCGAGTCCAACCGTCAACCTAACTCTGACAAACAAAAACATCACTAAACCATGTCCCCCAGCACCATGTCAACCCGTCTTTTGAACACCTCCAGGGATGGTGCCTCAACCACTTCCCTGGGCAGCCCATTCCAAGGTTTGATAACCCTTTCCATGTAAAAAATTTTCCTAATATCCAACCTGAACCTCCCCTGGCGCTACTTGAGGCCATTTCCTCTTGTCCCATCGCCTGTTCCTTGGGAGAAGAGACCGACCCTCCCTGGCTACACCCTCCTTTCAGGGAGTTGGAGAGAGTGAGAGAGTTGCCCCTCAGCCTCTTTTTCTCCAGGCTGAACACCCCCGGTCCCTCAGCCTCTCCTCACAAGACTTGTGCTCCAGACCCCTCACCAGCTTCGTTGCCCTTCTCTGGACCCACTCCAGCACCTCAATGTCTTTTTTGTAGGAAGGGGCCCAAAACTGGACACAGCCCTCAAGGTGGAGCCTCACCAGTGCCCAGTACAGGGGGACCATCGCCTCCCGAGTCCTACTCACCACGCTGTTCCTGACACAGGCCAGGATACCGTTGGCCTTCTCGGCCACCTGGGCACACTGCTGGCTCATGTTCAGCCGACAGTTGACCAACACCCCCAGGTCCTCCAGCCACTCTGCCCCCAGCCTGTAGCGCTGCAGGGGGTTGGTGTGACCCAAGGGCAGGACCCAGCACTTGGCCTTGTTGAACCTCATCTCATTGGCCTCGGCCCGTCGATCCAGCCTGTCCAGATCCCTCTGCAAAGCCTTTCTACCCTCCAGCAGGTGGACACTCCCACCCAACTTGGTGTCATCTGCAAACTTACTGTGGGAAATAAGCTAAGTTTTGCTTCAGCTTATTGATGTATCATTGTTAGTGTGATAGTACTAACAAAGAAGCCTTAGTAATAGTAGGGTCTAATAAATTGTATCCAATTAATCCCCAAAAATGCCCTTGGTCTATCAAGGGATCCTTGTTCGCAGAGCGTTATCTAGGTGAAGAGAAACAGACTGGAACACGGCCTTCGACACAAGAACCCAGAGGGTAGGGGAGTATCAATAAGGCCAAAGAAACCAGTCTGGTAAATCTGCCAAGTAGATGGTAGCAAAGACTCTGAAATAATGTGTAGCATAATCAACTAATCAAAGGCATGTTTAAGATGATGATTTCGTAGAATAGGTGCATGTGTGCCTTATATGGGAAAAAGTGCAAAATAAACCTGTAATAGGTCAAGCGGTCGGGAAGAATGTGAGCTCCAACTTCTCAGCCAATGAGAAGAGAGACAGAGACTCAAGCGGCCGGGATAAAGGTATAAAATACCTGAAAGCTAAAAGATCATCGTGCATCTATTTTTGGTGCACCCGATTCAGCGCTGTTTCGTATTAATAAATTATTTTTTTTAACCTTTGCTTCGGTGACTTTGTCCTCTTTAAATTCTAAGATGTGAGTCGGTGTTTCTCACATTGCTGAGGGTGCACTCAACCCCCTCATCCAGATCATTGATAAAGTGTTAAAGTGAACTGGCCCCAACACCAAGCCCTGTGGGGTCACCGTGACTTGGGCTGGGGTCCTGCCCTTGGGGAGGAGGTGGCCGTGGGGGTGGCAGCACCCACTTCCCCCCGGCCTGGGAGCAGTAGGGCCCTCAGGCCTCATGTGGGGCAGCTCCCCCGGTGGGAGCCTCCACCCCGACGTCAGCCCCCTGTCGCTGCTCTGTCCCTGCCTGCTCCCCCCGCTCCATCCCCCTGTGGCCCTGTGCCCATGTCCT